TTGAAGTGACAGAAAACCTAGATGTATATTTTATTTTATCTTAAATATAATTTCCCAATTAACTTTTTTTTACAAGCGTTTCAATTGTTCAACAGCACTGCATTGACCAACCTGAGATACGTTGACAGAGAAACAATTCCCCAGCATAGTGTGACTGTAACAGCTAGAGATCCAGATGGAAATGTTAGTATTACATACTTTCTTCATGATGGCAGATGCAATGTGTGATCAAAGTTATCAATGTTATCTTATGTTAGTCTCAGATATTTTAGGACAATGTTAGTTAATATGTATATTCTAATAGAAAACTTTAATTTATAAATTATATAATAAACTTTTTTACTGTAGGAATCTGCAATTATATTTAATTCTATTGTTAAAATAATGTCATGCAATGAATTATTTCTGTTTAGACTGCTCAAGCTACTATAACTGTGATTATAACTGACATCAATGACAATGATCCAGTCTTTGGACAAAACTTTGTAACATTGGGGCACTAAGAGTTATATACATTTCCTGATTAATAAATGTTTGCCTCAAATATGTCAACTTTGTCTTTGGACAAATCTTTGTAACATTGGGGCACTAAGAGTTATATACATTTCCTGATTAATAAATGTTTGCCTCAAATATGTCAACTTCAGAGTAATTATATTACCTTTATTTTCAAATATCTACTACAGAAAGAGAGCTGCATGAAAAAAAAAAACCTAACAACATGCCTGCTACCTAGGGATGTTAATATCATTATGTATAACTAAACTGATTAGAGGTTTTAGAAAATTCAATTTTAAACCGATTATCTCTTTTATTGGTTTGATTTGAGTTAGGGTCAAATTTTGTTGTGCTATTTGTAAAAATAAATTATTATTGTACATTACGTTTTACAGGCCACAGACCGTGATGAACCTAATACACCCAACTCTGCTGTCTACTATGGCATTGTACCAGTTCTGGATTTTGGCAGGTAATGTTGTAATAGGTTGATCAGGTATTGTGGCTATAGGTAGGTAGATCGGGTATCTTGTTATAGGTAGGTAATATAATGTGGCTATAGGTTGTTAGATCGGGTAATTGTGTAATTGAAAGGTAAAATAATGCTTTTAATAAGTACAAATGTAGAATATACAATTCCAGATTTTTAAAAAAATTTTACTTGAACAATGCCGGCCTCTAGGGTGTGTGACCTGTGCTATTGCACAGGGCGCCGTGACCATAGGGGTGCCCAGTAAATATTTAATTTCACTTAGTTTATTATAGTGAAGTATGAACCTCGGGTCTAAATTAATGTGTATGTTAAAATGCGAATGGTTAGCTACATGTGTAGAATCATAACACGTGCTCCTTCGCCTACATACTACATCGTAATCGGAAACAGAGAGGAGACATACAGGGAAGATAGCATGGAACGGGGGCTTCGCACAGGACGAAATTTTACCTAAGGTCGGCGTTGTTGAATAAGTTTGCCATCATTTACATTTTTTAACAATTTTTTATCTTTTCCATCATTAGCTTTGCAATTGATGTTTCTAATGGCCAACTGAACACCAATGATATATTTGATTATGAAACCAAGAAACAATACCAGATCTTAGTGAGAGCATTTGATGGTGGACTTGGAAATCGTACAGCTGTTGTTCCAGTTACCATTAACATCATTGATCTCCAGGACTCGGTCCCACTGTTTGAGGACACAACTCGGGAAGTGACAATCTATGAGAATGTTCAGGGTGCTTTTGTTGTTAACCTCACAGTGAGTCGGTGAAGAAAATCTATTTCACTAGAAAAATGTGAACTAAATAGCAGCAAACTTTACAATATACACAACAAAAAGTAATGTAATATATATTCTTCTTTTATTATTTTTTAATATGGCAATTTTTACATTTTTTTTTTTTTTTGCAAAGTGTGCAGCTTATGCACTTTAGACACGTGTTTCTCAGATGGGGGTGGAATAAAGAAATATGAAATTAATAAATCTGGCATCGGTCTCTGATGCTATTTCAAAATATGCCCACCGGTCTGCCAAACTAGAAAGTTTACGAAACTCTGCTTTAGGCTACTGTATAAGTTACATTAGTGCAATGAAAGTTTAATGTTGAAATAAAGGGATTTTTAAAAATTAAATTGTTACATTTTTATTTTCAACACATGGATAAACATTCTTACCAAGACAAGATTTTTAAAACTAGAATTAATTAAACACAAGACATCCAAAGTTTTTCTCAAGTGCAAAAATTAGGCTTCACATACTACAAACATCTTTAGGGACACAACTGACTTTAAGAGTGATTATTAGATTTTGTTATTGAAATGTCAGTGCGATTACCATTAAGAACAATAAAAAAAATAATTTTTTAAACATTCTATTTGAAACCGTTTATTTTATTCAGGCCACCGATGCAGACAGTACACCCAACTATAACTTTGTACTACGGAATATTGGAGTTAACAATGATGCAGCTGCTTTCAATGTGCAAACTGTTGGAAATCGTGCAGTCATAACTGTCAAAGGGGCTCTAGACTACGAGACCAAGAGTCGTTATCAGTTTTTGGTCACAACACAAGATGGTTCGTCATCTACAGCTTTATTTACCACAGCCACCGTCATTGTCGATGTTTTGATAAGTTACTGTATTGCCAGTGATTTCATAAAAACACAATTTTAGAAAAATGATGTCTCTAAAAGATCAAATTATATTTTAGTATTTATACCACAATAAATAACCTTAAAGTAGATACCGACCGAATTTCGGCTTCGGTTTCGGCGTCGAAAGTCGTCATTTTATCACTTTCGGCCAAGTTTCGGTTTCGACCGAAACTGAAAAGTTAACTTTCGGCTTAATTTCGGTTTCGGCCGAAAAAGAAAAGTTATCTTTCGGTTTTTCTTCGGTTTTGGCCGAAATTGACTCAGGTTTTCAGTCATCTAATACTAAGCGAAAACGATATTTAACAACAAACTAGGCGACATTTAAGAACAAATTAAGCGATCTTTGAGAACAAACTAAACGATATTTAACAACAAACTAAGCGACATTTAAGAACAAACTAAACGATCTTTAATAACAAACTAAACAATCTTAAAGAACAAACTAAACGATTTTTAAGACCGAACTAAATTATCTTTAAGAACAAAACAAATGAGCTTTAATAATAAACTAAATGATTTATAAGAATAAACTAAGCGATCTTTAACAGAGAACTAAATGCTCTTTAGGAACAAACTAAGTGATCTTTATGAACAAACTAAACGATCTTTAAGAAAAAAATAAAGCGATAATTAACAAAAACTGGACGATCTTTAACAAAAAACTAAACGATCTTTGAGAACAAACTAAACGATTTTTAACAACAACTAAGCAATATTTTCGAACCAAACTAAGCGATCTTTAAGAACAAACTTCTTCTTCTTCTTTATTTTAAGGGCCCACGATCAATGAATTGATCATTCTGGCTCCTATGTTTCAGAGGGGTTTGCGATGTTACTGTCCATGGGTTTCAATGGGATACTTCACTGGTTGCAAGGGCGACTCAGCAGTGGTGTTATGAACTGGTGGTTGGAATACAGGAGGCAATAGACACAAATGTATCGAGTGTAGCCGCCTCAACTGTTGCTTTTGGAAGCTTGTTCCAGTCCCCTATTGTCTTCGGCAGGAATGAGGAGCTTCTGTACTT